AGAGAGAGAGAGAGAGAGAGAGAGAGAGAGAGAGAGAGAGAGAGAGAGAGAACGCCCTTGATTTTGTATTGTTTGCCTGAGTAAACAAGCTTTGCTCACTGAAGTACGTTCATAGATGCATTCAAATTGTTCGTCGTAAAAACCCACGGAAAAATACATTGTATCTGTTTTATTTCGTCTTCACTCTCACTCTCAGCCTCGCCTACTCCTTACCCTCCTCTTTCACCCCCTCCTCCTTCTCGTCCCCCTCTTTCTCGTCCTGCTACTCCCCTTCGCTGTTGTTACTACTGTCTTTTCCTTTCTCTTCCCCCCCCCCTGTATTTTTTTTCTCTTCCTCCACAGCATGACATCAATATTTAATTAAAACTCAATTTTGAATATCAGGTGTTTAAAATAATATTATCTCCTTCCTAAACGCACTTACAATTTTTGAGCCATCTCCCCCTTCTGCTCTGGGCTGGGGATGTCATTAGTTTGCAATTACATTTCCATACGCTTATGTCTGTAATCGCCGGCGTCTATGGTGTTGCAGTCATGCGTCTCACCGTTGCACACAAGAGACGTGAGTTCGATTCCCGTGTGGATTGAATTTCTATCCAGTATCTCCTTATTTCTGCCGGGACGTTGTATCCTTATCTGTCCGGGTCGGCCCTGACAGGCAGGGTATAACTTCTACAATTACAATAATATTTTTTGCACACGTATCTACTCGTTTGTTTGGTGCACAGATAGAGGAGGGTACACGAACTGAACGTTGCCCAAAAATCTTGTGTTATTTGCGAGCTTTTTAAAAAAATGAATACCTAACTTTCTTCTTTGTTTTGTTTTTGTAAAGTGTTTTACGGCGCTCGCAACTGCATAAGGTCGTATGAGCGCGCAGGACACACCTAATATTTTCAGTTGGTACGAAATTTTGAATTTTGCCCGGGTGGCGGCCGAAGCCTACTCTTATCGATTTTAGACCACCAAGGGATCTTTAACGTGCGCAACTTGCACACGGGCCCTCCGAGATTTTTTGCCCTTGTCCGAGAAGGCTAGGTGTAGATCTTTCCTACCAGAAGATCAGGGGTGTGGCTGAAAGACAGCAGTAAGAAGAAGCG